GCGTGGCAGGTGGACTGCTGCTCTCAGAGGGCTCTGAGAAGCTCGAAAAGCACACGGAACCTTACTTTTCCGTGTTTTGGGGTGACTGCAAATGTTACCTGAACAAGGCAGGAAGACAGCCCTCCTTCCGGAGCTGAGGGAGAGCCGCTGTCACGTCCGTGAGCAAATGGGGGCCCGTGCCCAGAGTGGCTCTGGATGGCGGCATGGCGTCCCTGCTAGGTGGTGGTTTCTCCCGGCCGCGGTTATCCCGATGCAGCCTGGGGCTGTGGAGTCAGCAGGTGAGAAGTGGGATCCAGGTCCTGAGCGTGCTGGGACTGGCGGGTCAGGGTCGCAGCGCGCGCCTGCATTTCCATCTGCCCCTGCTCACGGCCGAGGCCTGTATTCTCATCCCTGCTCCTCCCTCCTCTGGATAATACCACGCTGTTCTCGTTCATCAGAGTGACACTTGTCTCATTTCACACAAGCAGGGGAGAGGTGTTTTGTTTTATGGCCCGACATTAAATGCTACGACAGTAATACTAAAACCAATCCTGCTGAAGAACGCCGCGCGGCCCGCACGTGGGAACTGGCTGTGACGGCAGAGTGCAGATGAGCTGCACGCCGAGCCGGGGGAGCGTCATTTCTCAGAAATGGTTCGGTGTGCCGGCTGACGGTAGCTGTGTATCAGAAGAGGGGAGATGCCAGAGGTTTGTTGGATGCCTGGAAATTCTGTCATTCCAAGGGAATGTTTACAAGGCTCTTGACTTTTTCTCTTAATGCTACCTGTGAGCATTAAGAGGCCTTGGGTAGATGAGCTAAAAATAGCAGTGATTGCCCTTGGCTGGAGTTCTGGGCTTACAGAGCACTTGCACGGACTTTGTCACTGATTCTTGCAACAATTTGGGCTTCACAGAGCAGTCAAGCTGGTTAGGTGGAAACGTCATGTGAAGCATGGTGCTGTATATGAGGAGCTGTATGTTGTGCTCTTGCTTTCAAGGCGCTGATAGCACAGCTGGGGAGATAAGACTAGGACCTCTGCAGTAGAACAGAGGCCAGTACGAGGCCAAGCTCGAACAGCCTGGAAGACCAGCAAATGCCGCGGTAGAGACGTCATGCAGGCAGTGGGAGGCAAAGAACTGAAGGCGGAGCGTGAGCCCACACTCTGAGGCCCGAGGGGCTGGGTTTTGGCACACCAGCTGGGCTTCTCCTAGGCCAGGGAGTCAGTGGCACCCGTTAGCCACGGCCAGTCACAGCCCCATGCTCCGGCACAGCTCTGTGCCTACGGCTGAAACCTTGGCTTTTTGGGACTAATGGTTTAAAATGCCGTTTTCTTTCTTTTTTCTTTTTCTTTTTTTTTTTTTTTTGAGATGGAGTCTTGCTCTGTCACCAGGCTGGAGTGCAGTGGTGTGATCATGGCTTACTGTAGCCTCCACCTCCTGGACTCAAGCAGTCCTCCCACCTCAGCCTCCTAAGTAGCTGGAACCACAGGCATGCACCAACACACCGATTAATTAAAAAAAAAAGTCTTGTACAGACAGGGTCTTGTTTTGTTGCCCAGGTTTAAAAGACCGTTTTCTCTGCCCAGTTATATTGATGTCTCAAGGTGGTATCTCTGCTTCCCCCTCTGAAGAAATCTGAAGGAAAAGGGTTAACTGCTTGGAGCCCGCCTTTCTCCTCTATCTACTTTCCAAAATGAAGACTATTGGTTTTTTTTTTTTTTTTGAGACATAGTCTCACTCTGTCGCCAGGCGCCTGGCTGGAGTACAGTGGCGCGATCTTGGCTCACTGCAACCTCTGCCTCCCGGATTCAAGCAGTTCTTCTGCCTCAGCCTCCCCAGTAGCTGGGACTACAGGCGTGCGCCACCACACCCGGCTAATTTTTGTATTTTTAGTAGAGATGGGGTTTCACCGTGTTGTCCAGGCTGATCCCGATCTCTTGACCTCGTGATCCACCCGCCTCGGCCTCCCAAAGTGCTGGGATTACAGGCGTGAGCCACCACGCCCGGCCTCTTTTTTTTTTTTTTTTTTGAGACAGATTCTTGTTCTGTCGTCAGGCTGGAGTGTAGTGCTGTGATCTCAGCTCGCTGCAACCTTCGCCTCCCGAGGTCAAGTGATTCTGCTGCCTCCTGAGTAGCTGGGACTACAGGCATGCGCCACCATGCCCAGATAATTTTTTGTATTTAAGTAGAGATGGCTTCCACCACATTGGCCCCGTGGTCTCCTCACCTCATGATCCCCCTGCCTTGGCCTCCCAAAGTGCTCGGATTACAGGCGTGAGCCACCGCACCTGGCCAAGGACTGTTTTTTAAAACAGGGCATGTTCATCCCCTCAAATCTGCTGAAGATCTATCTAGTTCCTGGTTTTTATATAATACAGCAGTAGGCGACACAGAAACATAATTTTGTCGCTATGTGAGGAGAAGGGCTAGTGGTTAGAATGGGGCCAGACTGTAAAGGATTGCTCCTGTGGAAAGACGATGACTCCCATCCTAGCCCCACAGACACTTGCGAGGGCTGTGGGTCCCGGCCGAAGCGTTCCTGCCCCACGTGCCTGCAGCTGTGTAGGTCCAAGCTTTGCCCCTGAACTCAGGAAGATCACAACGTCTCTCACTGTATATAGGACTAATTATAAATAGACAGAGATGGCATTATGATTAGGAAAATATCAAGTCATTAAAAACCATTTCCAATTTCAAAGTAGCCCTTTTGCCATTATGTATTTTCTCAGTCAAAAAATGAGTTGTTGAAGGCTACATAACTAATTAGTGGCAGCGTCCTTGAAAGCCATAAGAGAAATTGGCACTTCATCTAGTAGGCAGTACTCAGTTAATAAGTCAATTAACAAATGTTTATTAAGTGTCTACTAAAAACAAGGCACAAAGAACTACAAAGACTCTGAGCGGTGAGTGCTGGATGGGGTTTTCAGCGTTAATGTTTTATTGAAGGATAGCATACATAGAAATCTGCACCCAACCCAAGTGTATACAGTGGTTGGATACATTTTCCTAAACTGATCATACCCATGTTCCTGAGATCAAGGAACAATATGACCAGTGGCCCAGAAGCCTAATCTTGTCCCCTTCGGGTCCCCCCCAACCCCTGAAGCCACACTGCTGGGTCTCCACTCTCTTGACAGCTTCCCATCTAAATGGAGCACACGGCGGGCACTGTGGGCTTCTGAGGGGAGGGGTCAGGCTGCGCTCATCTTCAGGGTGGACTGAGAAGAAGAAGACTGGGGCAGTGGTGGCCCTGTCTGTGCCCGGGGCACCACCCTCTTTGGAGTCATTGGACCAGATTCAGAAACCCAGCTGGGAGGTGGGAGGGCCTGAGTAACATCTTGGGCCACGGGTTGGATGAACACGTTAGCAGTTGATGGTGGAGCACCAGCTCTTTGGAAGGTGAAATGGATAGGACGTGTAATCAGACTGGGCACGTATGAAGAAGATGGAGAGGTTGAAAAAGAAAAAGCGGCACTCCTTCAGGTTGGCTGAATGCCAGCACTGTCAGTAACCCTGGACCAAGTCATCTGACAGAGGGGCTCTGCTGAAAATCTTGCAGATAGAAAAACTTATGAAGAGCTGAAAGTTTTATACAAACACCAACTACCGTCTACTATTCCATCCACCTACCTGCACACTCCATTCATCAGTTTCCTCACACACTCACTCACCGCTGAGATTTCATTAGTTCTGTCCCAGATTCCTTCCCCTTAAGACAAACAGAAACTCATAAAGGAATTAGAAGTACTTAAGACATTTCTGATGGGATCATGGTGATGTTAATGAGTGGGAATTTTTTTTTTTTAATATTAGAGAATGAAAATACAAGATCTGTATAGTTCAATCAGCCAGTATTTTGAAAATGGTCAATGCATGATGATACAAAATAAGCTATGGGTAAAAAAACCCACTCAAGGTACAACAGAGGGCAGTGAATTTCAATGTGATAGCGTACAAAAACTTCATTGATGTGGTTTCAGATAGTATGTCTCAAATATCCTGGAAGTAATTATCATTTGATAAGTTTTGGTGTAGTATCAAAGAAAAAGAGTCATGATTATGTAAAATAGCATTTTAAGGTACTCTTCTGCTTTCTAATCATAGGTATGTGTGTGAGGTAGGAGCTTCTGCCTACGCATTCACCGAAGCCACGAACCGCCACAGGTGAACGCAGAATGAGAGTCACCCATCCTTGATTAAACCACATTCCAGAAATTCGCAAAAATGTACAATAATGCTGCTCTTCTCACTAAGCTTTTTTGGAAAAAACAGTTATTTTTATAATAAATATTTATTTTAAAATATAATGGGTTTGTTACTGTTTTTAAGATGAATGAAGAAAAAACAACTTTAAAAATCTTACCTGAATTTCACATATAGGAGATACTGATAGATACAGCAACATAAACCGAAGGTCTTCAGGGTTTTCAGTAATTTTAGAGTGCAGATGCGTCCTGAGACCAAACAAGTTTGTGAACTGCTGGCTGAGAGTTCATTGCCGTAGAAGCCACTGCTGAAATAAATAATGGACATGTATGTATGTTTGTGAAACCGATTTTTTTGGTGGGAAAACTGAGTACAGATGAAAATTAATTAAAAAGTATCACTTCGTTGTCTTATTTCCTTCCCCTATTCCTGTACCCACGAGAGCCGTAGTCTGAACACACAGGTGCACATGTACTCAATGCAGAGCTGCCATTTCACAGAAAGCTGATCAGGAGCCTGAGAAGCAAACAGTGAAAGTGCGGGAAAGCTGCAGGTGCTGAAATACACATGAGCGTGGAGAGAAGAACAGTCACCTGCCCCGATGTTAAAACACTGGCCTTCACGGGCGTGTCAGCTTGTTTGAGCACATGAGTGGTTTCGTAAATCTGGTGAACACCGATCAACCGTAGGCATTGTGTCACTGCTAGTCAAAGGTGACTTTGAAGAGCGTTATATAAGAAGAAACTGTGAAAGAGAGGTCTAGCAGAGGAGGACGTGCATACGTAAAGAACTTTCTCTCTTCCGTTGCTTCCTCAGATCCTCTGTCGATGGGTCCTCAGAAAGCTCTGGAAACCATCGGTGCAAATTTACAGAAGCAGTACGAGAACTGGCAGCCAAGGGTAAGCTTGCTTTACTTGCTCTTCCTTTTCTTTCTTACGGGGAAACTCCAGTTCTTGGTTACCAACAGTCCTTGAATCCGAGTGAATTCTGTGCAGACCCTGCCTTGCGCGACGTGGCGCCTGCTGGCTGTAGGTCGCGGTACTGGCCTGACAGCGTACACATTATTGCAAGTCTTGCATTGGACAGTCCAGACTTATTTTGTTTAAGTTTACTCCAGATTTTTAGAAAAGAAAAAATATTCTTCATGTTACTCTTAACCATGGTTTTTTTTGTATGTGTATGCTTTTAAAATTTTATTAGCATTATTGTGACTGGAACCCGTGGTTTTTTCTCAGAAAATGTATTTTCAGTAACTTTTTTGCAACCTCAACTAGTTAGCGCTGTTCCTCATGTCTTCAGTTTTCAAGTAGTTGAGAATAAAGCACCCAACATTCAAAAGATGACACCTATTATGCCTTGTCTTTGATTCAAAATATACGGTTCTTTTTAGGGAGCCAGTTACCAATTAGTGTGTGGGTGTTTTTTTTTTTTTTTTTTTTTTTTTTTTTTTCTTATTTTTTTTTTTTTTAAAGAAAAATGGCATAGACTGTAACTGTGTCAATTTGCCTTTAAGATCTTAAGTTATTTGTAATCCACCCAAAGACCTTTAGCCTTTCTTATTAACTGGTTTGGAGATTTAATAAATTTAATAAAAAACTAGGAATCCGGGCGCTTTTGAAGGTGCCTTATATGCGGCTTTGCGTGGCGGACGGACTGGACTTACCTAAAGGAGTGTAATGGAGAGTGTGGGTGGAGCAGGTGCCTCACCTGCACATCCCTGTGAGCTTTACCCTCCCCTTTTGGATGTAAGCCTTGTGGAAACAAATGATTTATGGAAGCTTTTCAACACTTACTTGGTTGGAATTTTTATTTGTGGATCATTTATGCACATGATCTGGGATTCAGGGATTCCTTATCCTTTACTTACATTTTTAGAGTGAGAGAAGAGCCAGAAATGACATTTTCGTGCCTGTAACCATGCCCTCGGGTCATTGCTGCTGCTGCTTGCCACCGGGAGCTAATTGTTAGGAAGCACCTGTGTCTTAGGGCGCATCTTCCTGCTTACAGCAGACTTGTTCTTTAAAAGGCAGTGTCTTAATGGCTTTTTGATTGATGTCTAATGGCTTTACTTTTCCCTCTCTTAAATTCGTTACCTCTTGGTGGTCTCTGTAAACCTGCAGTGGCCTTTCTCTTGAGAGCAAGCACACAGCACATTTGGTGATTGGATGAGGACTGGAAAGAGATTTGGATGGTTGGAGTCCTTTAAAAACTAGTAGAGATGCCTAGTGTTTTCCATAGAGAAAAGCTTCTTTGAAGACTTTGAAGGTACCGTAGGGTCTTCGCATGGTGAGATGGGTGCTTACAGGAGCGTGGGGCGAGTGGCAGTGTTGGAAGACGAGGCAGCGTTGGCGGATGGCGTGCTGTTGACCAACACGATGGGAATTCAGAGGAATGCCTTTCTCGCTGCTTCTGGCCATCTCCTGGGTTTTGCTTTGTACCTTTGAGTTTTACTAGATACGTTTGTTTAAAAAACAATGTCACCAAACAAATTCAGATCTACCAATTGTGTTCTTTCTAGATTGAGTCTCTGCTATTATAACCAGTTCTTCTTTTCAAAGAATTATTAGATAAGGAAATATAGCCTTTCAGAATACCTGTGTTTAATATTTCAAGAGACTGTGTGTGATTTACAGTTTTTTATTTTGAGTGCTAAGAGTTGATTTCCTGCTAGCTTTATTGTTAGTTGAGCTGGTAGATATGAGACAGTTGATGCTGGCTGACAGGAAGTGGAAGCTTCTAAGGTGGCATCTGCCATTTTCATCTGAGTTTCTGTCTAGGAGTAGATCTCTTCCATGACTTTGAGAAGAGACATCATGATATAGGGAAGGGGACCTTTCCATGTAGGTCAGTGATGACAGCCAGAAAGATGATGGTGTCGGCTCAGCGTGGGATTGAGGATTCCCTTCCTGTGACAGTAGCACGTTGCCCTGGGACGGCGAGCACAGGTGCAAAGGGGTGCAGTCCTCTGAGTGATTTGTAGTCTGGGAAAATTTGTTAAAGTTGGCCGGATTTCAGCAATGGATGTGCAAAATGATTCTCTGAGTAAGAGCTGGTTTGAAGGGCTGGTGAGACAGAGCATGTGTCAGGATTACAGGATGCTGAGGAAGAGGCACCGGCGCGGGTGGGGTCCCATCTGGGCTGGTCTGTAACGTGGAAGCTGGAACGAAGTATCTGCTGTGGCACAGAAGGAAGCTGTTCACACACGCGGACTGGCATCTTTTTCCTGCATTCAGGAAGCAAAACCACAACGAGTACCTAATATTTGCTTTTGGAATCCCAACACCATTGCATTCATTTTAAAGTACAATAAAAATGCTTAAAAATTTCCTGCTGCTCACGATGAGCGGGCCTCATCTATTTTAGAAATTAGCCTAAGGTAGCGGATGTCACAGGATACCTCTCACTGGCCCTGTGGTGTGAGCGTGGGGCTGTGCCATATGCACTGGGTAATAATAGCATCTGCCCCGGTGTGCATGGCACACTGCTTCTCACAGCTTTCCGTGGGCTACAGGAGAGAGGGAGGGAGGCCTGGTGTAGACGGCGTGGCTCTTACAGGAGAGAGACAGGGAGGCCTGGCGTAGACGGCGCGGCTCTTACAGGAGAGAGGGAGGGAGGCCTGGCGTAGACGGCGCGGCTCTTACAGGAGAGAGGGAGGGAGGCCTGGCGTAGACGGCGTGGCTCTTACAGGAGAGAGGGAGGGAGGCCTGGCGTAGACGGCGCGGCTCTCGGTGTGCGGCAGACCTCTTGCTGCCTTCTGGAGTAGGCACAAAACAGGAGGCACTTAGCAAGCCCACACGTTCATGTGCAGGGTGCCTGGTCCCTGACTGTAAATCAGCGTCCTTTGAAACATTGCGAGGCTAATCACGCACCACTTTATTGCATCTACAGGGCTCTGGAGCTCCTGCAGTAATAAAGACAGGTGGATGTGCCATCTGCAATAAAACAATGGGGGTGTTAATACATTTCCGGGCCTTCCATGGAAAGACCCATAGGTCTGGTTTTCTCTTTCAATGTGTCCTTTATTGCAAGACTCCCAAAGCTTGGGTCATTTCATGAAAATGAGGCTATTTTCATTAAAGATTGCTGGAGTCGCTGCCTCCGCGCTGGTGTGGATGGGAATGCAGACGGAAATGCCCGTTTCCTCAGTGTGGTGCCTGTCCAGCAGGGGCAGAAGACCGACCTGAACACCCGCCGGCCGCACCGGCCCGGTGCCTGGGAGCCTGATGATTTGCTTGCTGACTCTGGAACCCTTGGCCTTGTTCTGTACTCTTCCAGCTTTCGATATAGGTGGTTCCAGTTCAAGAAGGAATTGAGAGAAACCATGGTGATTATATTTTTTTTCCGAAGGCTGCCAGCCTCTCTCTGGCCCATATTTCCTTGCTTAGGTCCATTGAGCCCTTTTCTAAATAATTTATCAGTTTGCCACTGATGAAATGTTTCTTCTGATTAAATTTAAGGCTTTGCCTTATTGCCTTGTAGGTGCATAAATTTGTGTTCTGCCAGAGATGGGAGGAAAAGCACTGACTGTTGTTTCCGTGGAAAATTCTGCAGTAAAACCTCACTCGTTCCATCATAAGTCTCAAATGAAAGTTTTATTGGGAGATGGGAGTGGGAGATATAAAGCTGGGAGCATACAGTGAAGAATTTATCTTTGGAGAGAATTTTTCTAACAAATCGGGGCTTCTGGCAGTTTGGTGTAGGATGGGACTTCGGAGCTGGAGCTGCGGAAAAACGCCAGCGGGAGGGGCCTTGCGGTCTGTGTCCTCCTTTCCCCAGAGAGAGTGGCCCACACCAGGAGCAGAGGCCACACCCCTTTCCTGGGGAAGAGCTTTAATTCTTCTGGTGGCTTTAAATAAGTTCATCAGGGAATATGTGTCATTTACTAAGGAAGACGAAACAGTGTGACGGCACCTCCAGTGACCGCATCCGTCTGTCGGGCAGGTGCATCCCGGGAAGGAGGCGAATGGTGCTCTCCAGTCACGAAGGCACATTGTAGGAGCTCGTTCTCATCTTGTCCAGTCTGTGAGTGGTGAAGGCGGCTAGTCCTGTGTGGCAGCCGTGGGACCTCCAGGGAGCTGAGTGGTCGGGCTGAGTCGGTTTTGATGTGGCCGACAGTTCTCAGGTGTCCACACAGAGCCACGGTTTGTGGATCACAGCGAACAGGTTTTGAATTTCAGCTTCCCTTCAGTAGGCCGTGCTTCTCAGATGTGTCACAGGCGATTTGTGGTCAGGGGATGGAAGTCGGTTTTACCGTTAGACAAACACGTTTTTGTAATGCGTCACACCACGCAGAGTGTGTTCATGGAGAGAACAAAACAGCTCCCAAGACCTGGTCTATTAGCCCAGTAGAAATTGTCACTGCATTTGAATGTAAATGACAGTCATCCTTTCCATGGCACTGAGAATAGAGTTGTTTGTATGCTTTTATGAGATGGCATTGAATGGACCAAAGCTGATGACTGTACCTCCTGGTGGGAGGAGAGGGTATGGGGAGCAAGGGGTTGGGAAGGCCAGTGGTGACAGCTTTGGTTCTACTTTGGACACTTCCAGGTGTGTCTTTTGGATTTTAGGCACAAGTGTTGTTTGCAGAACTGAATGTTTATGTGTAATCTGTGTTTTATAGGGGTTTGTCGTGAGGATGATTGGAATCCAGGCGTCTTCTCCTTGTTCCTGAATGGAGCTGCCACTTGACCTGTGTACCTCATGGCGAGTGTCGTGTGGTCATGTGTGACAAACTGTGAAACCCTCGGCATTGAGCGCTCACGCTGCTAGGTTTTGTGGGAGGCGCCTAGTCAGGTGGCTAGGCTGGCTCTGGAGGGTGCCATGCGGGTGGCTACACCACCTGTCTTCTTTCCCTGGGATGCTCATGCAGGCCTCTGCTTTGTGGGCAGAGTGATCA